GCACTGATCATAGGGGCAGTGCTGGTTGTAGCCACGTTTGCAGTGGCAGTGCTCGTGGTGGCACTGATCATAGGGGCAGTGCTCGTGGTGGCACTGATTGCGGTGGCAGCACTCATGGTGGCACTGATGGTAGTGGCAGTGCTGGTCACAGCACTGCTTGTAGAGGCACTGATCAGGCTGGGGACTGTAGTAGCAGGAGCAGCTGTGGTGTCTCCAACTGTGGCTGTCGTAATAGTGGCAGCTGGTGTCGCGGGAGAATTTCTTGTCCATATGGTGTATTTTGTGAAAACATCCTCATTCCCTTTGGCACAAGAAGAAAAATCAAAGTGTTTAATTTGATTTATTTCTGGAACCCAAAAATGACCTTGTCAAGATGCTTAAAGTTTTAAGATAGTATTTTTGGGAAATGTTTTTCGCACCATGAGTCACTACCACAGTGACATCCTGACCCAAAATCTTGGCCCTAGCAAGCATGTCATAGGCCACTGTGTATTCAGTCCCACCATGCTGCTTCCGTATAAGTGGCCTTTTCTCTGAATTTTCGTAGCAGCTTTTTGTCTCAGCCTGTAAATAAATTTACAAAAATGTTAATCCATTAGGGCAAAGATAAAATGTCATCTCTTAACACCAGATTTTCATCTTTAGAACAGTATCTGATATTTCAGTCCTAAACAAGTTTAGAATTTAATAATACAACTTACTGGCCAGTTTATGTGGCTTCCTGGGTCCTCAATGTTCCACACGACTTGTGGACACTGTTCATTTCTCCTACATGACATTCTAATTTTTGCATTTGTATTTAACTTTACTGGGTCACAGCCTTGAGAACAAGACAGACTACAGTACAACAAAGACAGATAATTTGGTTAAAACACATCAACCAAGTCATAAGAGCATGCTCCAGTATAAAAAGTTACATTTGTGATGAATTATATTAATCAAAATAAAATTGTCAAAAATTTATTTATTTAAAAACATATTTCGATCTAAAAAGTTTCAGAAGGATCATGTACCTAATTTGGTTATCCGGCACAGGGTCAAGGCTGATGCAGATGACTTCATTTTTTCTCACATCATTATTTTGTTTTATCACTTTAAAATGATATTTATTAAATTCAAATGGATCTGGTAGGCACTGTCCTGTAATGATGTGAGTCAGCCCCACAAAATCTCCTGCACACTTACAGGGATTTCCTGCAAATCAATAAAGAAAGTTATACTGTGGCAACTGAGAGGATCATATAAAGCTGCATTGTGACAGTTATATGTATACCAACTCAGATCAACAAAAACAAAACATAATTCCTTATTTATACTTGTACATACACTTATAAAATGATTTTATATCATCTTGGTTGGTCACATTCACAAATGATCAGAAACAATCAATGTCATATCCTGTTTGGGAAAAGCAAGACACACTGTTCACTGAGGTTACCAATGATTTACCATTATTCACCCTCAAAAACCTTTGTAATAATCTCATTACAAATCTTTACAATATTTAACTTGTACTTAGAGTAGATTAGGGTAGAAGAGAGAACAAAGTCTCTTGTTGGTCAGGAGCCACTAATTAACTCATTTGACCATGACACTCACTTTTTAACAGCAGTTTAACTTTCTCTCTTTATCAATATTGGGTGTACACTCTTTCTATCAAGTAAAAGGACCAGATCCTCATTCCTTGATATAAATTCCATCAAGGCGTCTATTTGTAGTTGCAGCTCATAAAAGCTGAAAAACCTGTGATTATCAACACCTGAACATCTCAGCGTTTAATTCATGATCTGACTGAGTATTAGAAAATTAAGTAGAAAAGTATGATTCTTACTGCACTCCCACTGGTACCGGTCATGCGGGTGTTTTAGTGAGGAGGAATCATCGATGGAGAGCGTGATATTTTGAACTCTGCTAGCTACTGAAGCTGAAGGTTGTGCTTTGATTCTTAATGAAGATCTGACAACTCTAACATGTTTGTTTCTCTGAAAATGAACAACAGGATTTATTAATAATAAAGTATACACTGCAAGGCAGGCATTATACTTCCATAAAATATCAACAGGCAACTTACGTTACTTCAGATACTTATTTGTGTAATATGTATGTAATAAAAACATTTTACCGGCCCCATGTTGAAGCTCAGCCCGTGGTCTTTGTGACCATTTGGTTTAATGACTGAGTCGTCACAGGAAGAAAACATATCCACTTCCAGAGAAGAGAAGATATTCTTCGCACTGAGTTTCACTTGTACAGTTCCTGTTGCAAAACATTCAGTTAAACTTTGCCAAATTAAAAACTCTTCACAAATGATCTTTATTCATTTTTATTCATTATATCTAGTAGTTTTGTAAATATCTCACAGGTATATCTATTAATAATGGGTGGGAAGTTCCGGGTGTTTAACCACCAATCAGTCAGAACTGAAGAAACGTCTTGGCTGAGAAGGGAAACTATGCATATAAAAATGTGTCTCCACTGACCCTAACCCTAACCCACTGCAAAAAAAAACAAAAAAACATTACACCCGTCATATTGCACTTTTGACAACATTATGAGTCAGAGTCTCAGAACAGTGATAATGATACAGAGCTGTGCAGGGTTCTAGTGGTAAAAAAACAAACAGACAAGACTTTCAAACCGATATTAAAAAGGTGAATGAACTTCAGTCACCCATACATGAGACTATGTATAGACTCAATAATCGAAACATATAGACCAATTATTAGCATTTTATTATTATTATTGTAATTGTTGTTGTTTATTTGTACTGTTGTGGGGCAAACAATGATGGAATATAACTAAGTACATTTACTGTAAGGACATTACTCTGGTTTTGCAATTTCATGTTACTTTACTCCATTAGATCTCACAAGCAAATGCACTTTTTTTTCATAGCATCAAATAACAAATAAAAACAAAGGCTCCTGGAAAAATGAACACTTGAACAAAGTGTTAAAAAAAACTACCTAAAATGACAGAGGCCATCTTGGAGTAAATGTGTGAAGTGAGCTACCTGGAGGAATCAAGATTTACTTTTGTGGGGCTATCCTTTCATCCATGATTATATACAGTCTATGGGTGAAATGAATTCAAGAAACCCAAGTAAATCCAGCTGCCTATGTATTTGCAACTCCTGCAGATACCCTGGATGACTGAGAATCACTGTACCAAAGCATAATTAGCTGGTCTTCCATACCTTGAATTGTGTGGTCTATATGAAACATTTCTTTCCTTGCATTCATCTCTCGGGTCTCATAGAATGATTCTTGGTTGTCTCCTGTCAGAGAGAAGAGGAGCAGCACAGGCGCTCCGTGATCGAGGGAAACGCCAACAGCAATATCTGAAGAATGAAGACAGTGATCCCCATCTGTCAACACCGACGCCTGGAGCCCAGCTACTTCTTCCAAAATACACACCTGCAGTATATGAAGAAACAGAAAAGAGTGAGAAACACATCAGGGTCTTGATCCTACAGGTAAACTTTCCATTTGAATGGAGAAACTTGCCATTCCAATATCATTATGGTATCATTACCAGCAAAATGAATGTCCTCAGTGTTTAATGCTATCTTAACTTCCTCCAACTGGTACAAACTGTCAAAACCACCACTTCTGGTCCAATCAAATTTTTATGTGTTGGTTCGGACCTTGGTCGGATGCACCTTTCACTCCTGTTATTTCTCCTGTTATTTTGGCTTGCACTAGATTGAAAAGTCTGGAGTTTCAGCTCAAGCAGGGTTGGTGTCAAAGTGGTTTGGCTATGCAAATGTTTAATGCATCCAGTGCATTGATTCTCAAGGATTCACATACATAGTTTAGGTGTGAAACTAGTGAAAGTCTCAAGGTCCATTTAATTTTGCAGTATATCTCGTACTTTATGAAGAAAATCTCTGACTCTTCAAGTCAGTTTAATTTCTTCTCAGACAGCATAATTGTAGTGAATTAAAATATTATATTTCTACTTTGATTTGGCTGTAAAACTATATATTTCTTCCATAGCAAAATTGTCTTGAGAAAAGCCATGATACAGTCTAGAAAAGGCAAAGTGTGGATAGTGGAAAGCAATTATTCCATTTACTACATTTGCTTATTCAGGGCTTCATCTGATTTGAGTGTTAACTTGGCACAATTTTTATTGATGATCTATGACCTAATCTATTTAACATGGCAGTCATGCAGCATATTCAGTTCTATTTTGATTAAACTTAGATCAATGACACATTTTCACACCATGTTCCACTGTTAATATTACAACCCTTATCAGCCTAATGGAGACCCCAGGATTAAAGCTCTACATTTTAAACTTAGAGGCGTTAGAACAGGATGAAATTCAGCGAGGTGATGCAGCCACTGTGTTCTGGTGTTTACAGATATGCCACTAATTATCTGGTGTGATGCTGTATGGAAAAGGTTAAATTTAACATCTAATTTAGAAAGGCTTTAACTCCAATCAGGCACATAATCATATGATCAAAATGTTAACTTCAGACTTTATAATTTAAATGCCACTCTCATTATCGTAACAACAACACGAGAGAAAGATTTATTTTTATTGCACGACTGAGAGCAGACAACACGTTCACCTGTTTGTTGACTTACCTGCAGGTCCGTGGACACTTCAGGGAGCGTGACCATGTTAGATGCATAAATTGTGAGTTGGTGGCAGCCAGGCCTGAGCTGCTTCACCATCTCTGGAGTCACGGTGATGTTATGAGAAACGTTTCCATTGAACACAAAGAAACCAGAGAACACCGTTTCATCACTCTGGATTCTGTAGCTTATATTTGAACCTACGGAAATAAAAGGAAAAAGAAACACACTTACATACAGTACATGTTGCTGAATTTCAATTAAAACAAAAAAAATTATAAAACATCCACATCAAGACGCTAACTGCGTTTACATGGGCACCAGTATCCTAGTTATGATCAGTATCCTGTTTTTGTGTTTATGCATATAAACGTCACATCCCGATTTCCTTATCCTGGTATTTAGAAACCCGACTTTACCAGCACTCAGTTAGTACTCGGTAAGTATCCAGGATGCTGGTGCATGTACACATCTTTTCCTAGTTCCTGACCATAGACGTCTACCTGCAAAGGGGTGACTTCAGCCATGGGAGGTAGCATTAACACAAACATGTCGGCAATGAAAGCTCCTCATTTCTGGAATGAACCTGTACTGTTGTTTCCTCCGGTCACATGAGAGGTTCAGCTATGACACTATATCATGATGGCCTAATCCCACCTGTCACAGCTGCGAATCTTCATTCTCTGAGCCCTGGCCAAAGTTCAAGACATGTGGAATATTTGCTGTCGCTCTGTTCTCTCATTCCTTGCATTAAAGTGGATAAGCCAAATCTGTAATGCAATGTTGGAATTTAATAGAGTTAAGCCCCCTATGAGCCAGGAATCAAAATTGCTGGTTGGCTGTGTTTTGATTGTGTAACAGAGTTTTAAATTACAGAGATACGGATATTTATCATGAATGAGGGGATATGAACAAGCAGATTTCTCTCTATTCCATATAAACACCATATCGTGAATATGATCAATACCAGAATAAGCCTCATAACTACGATACTAGTGCGTATGTAAACGTAAAAACTTTCATGCAGAGATATACAATTTGAAAAAATGAATAATGGTACTTTCTACCTATTTTTACTTCCATTTGAATTTGAAATGCTCCTCCATACAGGGCTTTGCAGTTGGTTGCATGGAACATCTGTATTCCAGCGTAACACTTGGTGACACTAATGTCTGTGACAGGCTCGAGGATGGTAATTATTTTCTGTGCTGTGATGTGTACGTCATCGCTGGTGCATTCGACTGCCACAACACATGTGCTTGGAGAAGTGTATCTGTGCATCACACTGCTCTCCAACCTGAGGGAGAGCACATGAAGAAACTTAAATTATGATAAAAAAGTGTCCCCTATGCTGTCTCAACACTGTTTTTGACCAATTTCATGTGCATAAAAGCCTAAACTGGAAATGTATTTAGATTTTTGTTATTCCTAAGAAGTATATCTTAAAACATAACAACATGATTTTCAGTTAATCTGAATCTGTTGAGTAGCCAACAGTTGATGACTTGGATTCTTGTATGCAATTTGTATATTAATATATTTACAAATTTAGAATAATGATGATATTTTCTGTTATCAGAATTCAGTGTTCTCTTGAAACCCATGAGATGAACTTCAGTGTGTTTTAGATGTCTGCCATCGATTTGAAAGAGTCCATCCAGGAACCTGTGCTTCCTAAATGAGATGTCTGAAGAGACAGCCCTGTTTGCTGACTCTCGCCTTTAGCTCATATTGTGCTATCCGCACCTAATGCCAAGTTAAAAAACAAAGGCGGCACATATTCAGAAATGACAACATTTCTGCTGCAATCTGCTGTTCTGCTGTGCACAAGGACAGAAACGGCACGCACGCTAATTAATGTGTACCTAAAAAAAAAGTACCTAAAAAATGCAAATAAAATGTGACAGGACACTGAGACTGATACTTCTGATTGGTAGTATAGCACAGTTTGTATCTATCTACAACATTTGTTCATTGGGTGTTAAGTCACTTATATTTTTGTCCCCAGATGTATCTGTATTGTGTTAAATCTGTTAATTTCATAATGCATTTCCATACAGTTGGGTGACCTCTGGGCGACACTTAAAGCAACAGAGGCAGAGATATCCTAATTTTTTCCTGACAGGTTTGGGGCTACAAAATTAAAAATCCAATAATTCCACTGTTTAAGACTCTCAAGTCTCAAGATTAACCATCACATCATCACAGTTACATATTGGCAAAGCTCCCCCAGAGCTGCAGAAGTCTTTATGTATGTTTTCACAGGCCAAAGGGTTCTCCATGTTCAGAACATTACTGCTTTTCATTGATTTTTTTGACTTTATTTCAAAACCACGTTGTCAGTCTGTGAAAATGAATCCTCACCCTAGTGGACTGTCCACATGAAAAACATGGCCATCTCCGGTGCTCAGCCTGCACAGAGGTTTTCCCCATGATGGTTTTAAGAGCCACTTAATGCTGATGGTGATGTCAGTAAAAACAGCGGCCACAGTGTTCATTGTCAGTGTGAACCCTGGGGGTAGAAAATGACCAGGGATGTAGCAAAGGGCCTGTAATCAACCATAACAAACATCCAAACAACCACAAACAAACAAACATACCCATATCATCCCAGCAGCACAGATACAACAAGGAAATAAAACAAAGAACTATTCTTTCTGCTTTATTTGCTCTGAGTAGGTTTCTGCTTTGCTGATTTTCAAATAATGATAAACAATGAAATAAACAGATTGAATAAATATGTTTGTCACTATCCTCCCAGTCAGATTTGAATTGGTGTTTTTTTTAACTTACCTGATAATTTTTTATTTGTCCCCTCTGATTGTCCCTGTCTCCTGGAGATGGTTTAGTGCGCACTGCAGCTACTTCAGAATTATCCTGTCATGATAAATCCCCAACTATATACTTCACTTTTTATCGTCTTTTTAAAAATTCTGTTTATCTGCACTGAAGATTTCAAAGTCAATGATTTTTGTTTTATTTCCCTTCACATATGTGGCTTTTACTTAAGTGTGAATGACATACTGAAGTAGCATTTAATTTTCCCCATAAGAGATGTTTAATAGAAACGACTGATAAGAATTAGAATTACTGTGACCGACCATCTTCACAGTGGTAATCCACTGACAGGTAACTCCCAAGCCGAGGACAGGGTTCAAAGGAGTTCACAACTTCAGCAATCTGGCAAACCTGACGGCCATGACAGTGGGCTGGAAAACACAGATAACACAATCAGCTATTGATAACACACTGCAATGACAAAGACTTAATGGAAGGTTTTACAAAAGACAACTTCATATTTAGTATTCCAGTAATGACTGTGCTCTAATCACAATAATGTTAACCTGCAAATAACGTCATGGGGTTCATGAAATGGATTTTACATTATATTGGCACCAACATTGGCAACAAAGACATCACATTTGCATTCAATTAATCCCAGTAATAATTAATTCTGTCAGTAAAGCTGAAAAGTTGGACTTGTTGAAAGTAGTAGCCTGTAGAGTGTTATATAGTTGTGTATGTAAAAGGTCTGCAAAGTTAAGAAGCCTAGAGCCTTTCCCACACAGAGAACACTGCCTCTGAAGCTCCTGAAACCTCGGCAGTGGTCCAGCCCATACTTCCTGGGCATTGTCTGACAGAGGCTGATAAGAGGAGCTTCAGCAGTGGACAGTATTATGTGTTTTCTGAACATTAGAGCATGTAAACCTTTTCAGCTAATAACTCAAATTAAAATTATGAACCTGAATATGAGAATAGCATGTATTTGATTTACTTTCACATTAAAGGTACAGTGTGTGGAATTTTGTAATCTCTAGTGTTGGAATTGCATGTTGCAGCTGAACACCCCCACCTCACCCTCTCCTTCCAAACATGAAAAAGAACCTGTGTTAGCCTTTAATTGTAAGACAGAACTCAAAAGGTGTTTAGTTTGTCCAGTCTGGACTAATGTAAAAAACATGGCGGCCTTGAGGGTCCCCTCGATGTTAATATAAAGTATTTGAATTTAAGGGTTTTTCTGGGGTAAAGAAAACTACAAGTCATATAATTTAGATTAAATAGTGAGTGAAACTAGTGAAAACATCATGAGAATTATTCTACATTAAATTTCTGCCAAAAGATCCCTTTCACCGAAATCTTACACACTGGACCTTTAAGGTAAAGCAGTCAACAATACAACTGGTGAGACACAGTTTTACCCATTCATGTGTGAAAAGGCTCAGTTTTGTATTTTTCTAGAGAGAGAGTACTAGGGCTCAGCTTGACTTGAATTGACAGGTAAAGGTTTCCTATAGTGTAATTGTTTACTCTTCGGAGATCACAGAATATTTCACAGTCAAGGGCGATAGCAGGACTAATGAATTCTGTGTTGCTGTGAAAAGTGTTGCTGACTGTTACCATTGTAATTCCAGTAATTACATGTGTCACATCCTTGTGGACACAGCTTGAGGAGATGAAGGTGAATTTAAAATGACATACTGTGTGATTGCATTTGTCCATGTGTGTCTGCTCTGCTGACCTGCTCAGGGTGCACCTCATCTATGCTGCACCCTGCCTCTAACCAAGTGCATGCTGGGGGAGACTGCCCTGCCCCGAGACCCTGAACAGGATGAGCAGGTTTGGAGATTTAATGGATGGATGGCCTGCTTGTGCCATTGGTTAAAGCATGAGATGATATTTACTCAAAAATAGATGGATGTTATTCATGTTATCATCAAAGCCATCAAGCTTTAAAAACGATTGTGCAGCTCTTCTTTCATAAATGTCAACAGTGAGTTAATATGTGCTTTGTGACATCTTACAATCACTTCATTTCAAAAGTGGATTGGATTTCATCACTGTTGATAATCTGGGCTGAACCTTTTATGTGGCATCAGTGTTTGTTGTCCTATTCATTATTTCCTGACTGAGTTCAGCTGATCAAATGAGAGGAATGATTATGGAGCTTAGAGGAGTTACAATGCAGATCAGATTAGGTAACTGCTCTTTACCTGATCATGTAACTGATATACATCATTCCATTCATGCATCATAACAATGAATACTAATGAATTAATCTAAAGTAGGTTTTTTACTCCACACAGAGAAAAATATTTGAAATGTTTTACCTGCTAGTGATTCTACAACATTCTCCCAGCCACACTGCTGTATGGATGTTGTTGGCATGGAGGTTGTCGATTGACAATAATAAAGGTTCTTGCGACCGTAGAAGCCGCCGTCTATCATTAACATTTGGCCAGAACTACAATGCAGAGCAGTGTTCCGATCTGCACACACAATGGTTCTTCTAGACTCTGTGAAAAAACAATATCAAATGGTACAATGCCAGTAAATCAGTACAAAGTGATTGTGCTGCTTTTGTTTAGAATTTGAGTCCGGGTACGTACCAAACTGGCACATAAAGCTCAGCTTTTTGTTGCAGTCTCTCGTGGTTTCCCACTGGAAGCCTGAGTGCTTTAATATGTGTCCACAAGCCGCTCCAGGCTGTGGGCTGCTTGCCCAGTTTGAAAAGGTGATATGTGAATCATCCAGCCAAGAGAGAGCACCTAAAGATGGAACAAACCACTGCTCAACACATGTACAGTTTGAGTTAATAGTATGAAGAAAGACGTAATATGTTTAGTATTGCGTTTATCTCTTGATTGTATAAAATAATTTTAAACAATTCAGCAATACCTGTTCAAGGGTAACACTTTAACCCTAAGGACCACAACAACTNCACACACACACACACACACACACACACACACGATGCATAATCACTTTCACACCACAGAGGGACAGAGAGGGAAGAGAGAAACAAGGCAGAGTGATTAGCTCGACATCACAGAAAATCATGGTGTGAGCGAGCAAAAGAGAGAAATGAAGAACAGGTGAGAGACGGGGAACGAGAACAAAGCTAATAAGACAGTGAGATACAGCCAGTCACAGAAGAGAAGCATCGAAAGGCGAGAGGAAGAAAAGAGACGGGCAGTCGGCGGAGAAGGAAAAAAAAAAACTCCTCACAGAGATGGGATGTGGAAACGTGGTGAAGGCAGACAATGAAAATCAACACCATTTCATTTTTATTTAAAAGACAGAGGCGAAAGAGAGAAGAATTCCTTCATGGCTGAGGAAATAAGAGCGATAGAGAGAACATGCCTGGAGGATATCACTATATTTATAGTCTACTATGCCATTATTTATTTCTTTCTCTCCCTCTCCCCTGCTCCCTTGCTGCCTTTGATGGGCCCAATTTTTAATAACATGCATATCTTTGTTCCCCTTCTTGATTAAGAGATGGAGATTGGGAGGACAGTGCCGCAGGGGCCAGTGAAGACCACACTCCTGCTGGATGGAGGACAAATCCCCCTCGTTTCCTACCTTCCAACAATCCCTCCAGCCATTTCCCTACTCCTTCACAACACGCCTCCAACGCCCACACACACACAATCACCCCCCCGCCCAGTGTATCTTCATCCTATCATCAACATCCCATCCTACATTTTCAGTCTTGACTTCTGTCCCCTCCCTCATCCTGTGTGTAGCCTCCCTCCACCCATCCTCCAACTCCCTGTCTCCCTCGTTCCCCCGTCCACACCTCCCTCACCTCCATCTCATCAACCACTCTCTGCAGCACGTACATACAAGGGCCTCCACTCCACGCCACTGTTCATTCAGTCTACAGGAACACATCATGACCTGACGCTCCATTATGGGCTGCAGAAATGTATTTTCAGATATTGATGGACATTTTGATGAAAACAAAAATCACATAGAATAGTCGTAATGATGTTGTTACATCTGTCCAGCGTTCTGTTCTCACACAGCATATATACATTTGATGAAGACAAATTGATCAGTCAGAATACAGGAAAGGTGGAAACTACGGACTCTTGAAGCAGGCCTCTCATTTCTATGTTTTTCTATATTGTCATTCTTGCAGCAAAAATCCAACTGTGCCTACACCACTAAGGTTAAATCAAGGTTGATCTCTATAAACATATTCTTCATGTGAATTTTACAGAACCTTTTGGCAAAGGACATGATTTTTTGGGGCTGGAAGCCTCCTGGTTTCCATTTCTAGTTTGACCACGTTGAGCAGGCTTTGGTTGCCGGAAGCTAAACAGTCCATGTGGAGCGAAATAGAGGTGGAACACATTCACTGAAATACATCTGCTATCAGCTTTTTAATTTACCTGCATTTATATGCAGATAGCTTTTAATAGAGCTTAGCCAAAATGTCATCTGGACAAAAAACACAAAGCCCCAAAATGTCGGCCATTGCCCCCCGGGGCTAATTTGCCGTCACACGATGGTACATTATCATGTTAACATGCAACATTTCATTAAAATAGTCCCTTCCCATCCTTTTCCTCTGACACATCTTTTGAGCATCAAACATGTAATTGTTGGACTCAAACAACCAATGCAGTTATTTTTAATGACAGGAACAAGAGGTCTGAAATATGATCTTGATGGTTGCGTGCAGTCTGGTTTCTCACTGTTGTTCAGAGTTTTTCTCTTGAGTTTTGCTGTTGTGCTTTTGCTTTGAAAAGGCGATAAAAGAGATTCAACCCTCCAAACTCTTCAGCTGCAGAGTGCACCACAACGTGAAAGCTGATAAACAACAATATTGAATCATTCCTCTGCCCTGTGTAGTATTTATCCTGTAACTGTATGATGATTTACTCTGCCTGAAATACTTTACGAAGACAAATCCAAGGCTTTCCATGCACTTAATCATTATGCGGGAGTAGATGTCACTTGTTGAAAAAAAGATCTGTATAAATGATTTAAGAATAAGCGTTTTCTGTTTCCCCCTCAAACACACACACACACACACACACACACACACACACACACTACCTCCGTCCTCTCTGCTCCTCCAACTAACGCTGCTGGTAAGAACCCAATCCTCCAGCCGCCCTGGCATATTAACATGACAGCCGTCAGCACCTCTACGCAGCGCGGCCTTTGCGCTGGGAGTCTGCAGACGTGTGGATGGGTGTGTATATGTCAAAATGTGTCACGGCATGCATGGTTCATTTAAGTGTGCGGAAGTTGTGAATGTGAGTATACACTACATGCATGAATACTTTGTGTGTGTGTGTAATTTCGAGGGAGTTGCCTTTCCTCTGCTGTTTGTTGATTTGTTTGGTTTTTGGTTGATTTTTTAATTATTAAATTGAAATAACTTATACAAACCCATCATCTAAGTAAAAGTAGTTATTGTTAATGTTTGGGTTGAAGGTTTTGCAGAAACATCTTGGCATGGGAACTAATTGATCACTCCATGAGGAGAGGCAAATGCTTTTCACCAATTACTAGGTTTTTGAACAGAGTAGAGTGAAAATAATATCTCAGCGGGACATGTTCCAACTTACCATGCCTTATTCTCCACAGTCATGTTCCAATTTGCTGTATTTGACAGATTAAATGTGCAAGGCATTGAAAATGTAAGTTCTATTTCTATCACTTTGTAATTACGAATGGCTGCATTTCATCTAAGGTACCTCAGATGTAAGGTTTCTGCTTACCATGATAGCATATGACAGCAGTTGCCTGTATTTTACATTTCTCTCTTCTTACCTTCAGCCGTGGCAGAATACTGCAAGTTCAGAGAGGAAACACGTGCTACTCCGATCCACATGTCCTTCTCAGGGTCCAGGTGCTTCTGGAGGAAATATTGAGTGTCTTCATCTTGAATGAATGCAAGGTGTCCTCCGCCCTCCTCACACCAGGCTTGAGCACTGGCAAAAGAGTGCCGGTGACCCACAAACTCATAGCAGGAGCCGCGGAAGGCCCTCTGATGTTCTAGGCAGGAAACATCTTCAGCACTTGACTGACAGCTGAGAGATACCAGGATCAGCAGCTCCAGAACTATACCGCACATGTCTGTTTTCGGGTGAAACATGTCCTGCACTCCTTTTAGCGTGTTAGTACTTTCATTGCAAGATTAAAATTAACGTTGCTTCCCCTCCTCCTGCAGTGTTCTCGTACACAGATGCATTCTGCTTTTAAATGGGCCTTCAGGGGAAATTTGTTTACTTAAGAGTCAGGCTCCTTTCAAAAACCGATGAATGCTTTGCTTTGTACATAGACAGAGCTGCATCAAAAGGAAAAGTAGCAGCCAAGTTTCAAGCAGATGGCAGTGTACGTTTGATTACTGAATAAAATGTTGAATCACAACTACAATGTTTCGATGACCCGTCAATAAAGAAAAAAGGTTTAGTCTTCCATGAGTCGGGTTGGGTTCGGACACAGAAACAGAATACCTGTGGGTTCAGGTTGGGTCTGGATGGCTTTCCCCTGTTGAAGGATTGTGTAGTATGTGACCTCCTGTCACCAGTCAGGCATGTAGCATGAACTCACAATGACTGCAAGACTCTGGATCACACACAGAGATCCACCAACTTTGAAAGTTGTTTTAACTCAGCTTTATGTATCTCTTTGTCTCTGGGGTGAGAGAAAAATCAACTGTTTACCGCATCAATTTAAAAGGTGATGGCTATAGAAGTTGTTTTCAACATTTCCTCTGAGAAGATTATTTTACAAACTCATAATTTATAACTATGTAAAAGATGACAGTTCTTCCATGTCCTTGATTTTGAAGGGAAAATACACACCTGTAGTGGGTCATTATTTTCCTGCATATTGATAAGTTTGTTAATTTCAAATTGCAACAGAAAAAGAGAGCAGCATTTTTAATGATATTGTGATCCCTCTCTCCAACACTGATGTCTAGTGTTTCCTATCCAGCTTGTTCCATTTAGTTTGTTGGACTTGGCTTGTATTCAACTTAAATATACAGATTACTGTAGATGACTTTCATCTCACCCAAGCCACTCCGCTCAGTATCCAATTTCCCCCTCAATAGCACAGAACCTTTGCTTATTAACCCCAAGCATTTGCTCTACGTGTTGCAGTTGGGTTTCCCTGTCATGTGGAACAAGACAAGAAAAAGAAAGAAGTGTCCTCAACGTCTTACCCTGAGTTTTTGTTTTTCCAGAGTAAAACCTGCTTGGATCAATTGTTGTACTTACAACACTAATGCACAGGTTTGATTCTGCCATTGATCACACAGCTGGACTGAATTCAAACAAAGACCAGTGCTACTTGCTGCAGGCTTCATTTACGATGGTGTTATTGCTTGTCAATCCAAGAGGCACAGTAATAAAAAAGAAAACGAATAACAACAATGAACTTTTGTTACTTTAAGAAGAGTTCGTATTGACACATTAGCAGTCATTGTTTTACCTGAGCTCGCTTCAAACCTATCCATCTGATGCACATCACAAACTGTGTTCAGCTAATCTTTAAAACAAGTGTAGAGGAGGACAGTGAGTATCAAACACTTCAGCATACATCACACACTGTGCATTGTGTGTGTGTGTGTGTGTGTGTTAGCAACTCATGGATGGATTTTCGTTATACATGGACGAAATATTAACTTTTGGAGCTGATTGGTCAAAGGGCAAGGTCACAAAATATGGAAAATACCTTTCCTTTGTCTGTGTTGTTTATCCCCATCCATTCTGTGCCATTTTCATGTCTGTGCAATGGAGTGTAGACTCAATTTGCCTGTCACACATGAACAACACAGCAGGAGATTCTCCGCTCTTGACATCTTCATCTGTGTCCTCTGCGTTTGTATTTGTATTATTTTTGTTTCGTTTTTCAACATCAACACGCCCACTCGCTCACTGTGAATCCTAAGGAGGATCGCCTGCTGTTTTCTCACATGGGCTTATTCAGACAATATCCAGGGTTTCTACTCGCGAGCAGGCAGGAGAAACTCCAGAGAATCCTCTCACTTGGACATTTGCACTTTCACATACTCTGGAGAATGTCAGGAGATTATCAGGAGTTCAGTGCATGTCAAACGTTTGTATGTTTGTCTTGCTGGGTAAGTCACCTGAACTCCTGCTCCCACGTACTCACCTGTAAATCTAAGATGCACCTTCCCAAGCCAGTTGTGGTATGTGAATCCAGATTCCAGAGAAGTATTTAGCTTGGCTGTTGCTTGCGTCTACCCTGCTAATGTGTTGTCTACCTGTGCCTCAACCACTCAGCTGTCCTTTCTGTTTACCTCTACCACCTGAAAGCAGGTTTACCCTGAACCTCCACCTGCCAAGTTTCTTTCCCAGTTTTTCCACTTGACGAACTTTAATCATCAATTTTTCCAAAGTCATTTGTCACCTGTTACCACGCTTCCTGAAATGTCTTTCCTTATCAGAAAATGAAATCTGGCTGCAGTGATTGGTTCTATAGAGAACGTAACTTCACCTTAGGGGCCTGTATGTGAATAGCAGAGAGTGGCAGCTGAGGGTTAAAACGGTCGCACTCCAACCAGAAGGACAGTGGTTCAATCCAGAGTCTTCTCTATCTTCATTCTGATGTGTGTCCTTGAGCAAGATGCTGAACCCCGGATGGCTCCTCATAGAAGAAAGTGCTGCCCATAGATGCACTTTATGAATGTCAATGTGAATGGCAAACTATAAAAGTATTGGACTGTAAAGCACTTTGAGACATAAAGACTAGAAAAGTGCTTTATAAATACAGAGTAATTACCATATACCCTTTAACTTCACTGCCAACACTGCTATTCTATTTCAATTATACCAGCAATGGTGTCCAAGCCTGAGTCAAAACACTTTGACATTTAATTATAAAAATAGACCTTCGTTCAACCCACTTTCAATAAAATGCAGTAGGGGTGGATATATAACTGGGGGCTCTATGCATGAAAATAGATTTTCAAATACACACTTTCAGATAAATGTGGATAATGTACATGGGATTGTTGACACTTCAGTATAAATGCACATATTTAGGAGTTTAATAATCAGCGTTATCAAAAATAACACTGAAGGTTTACTGCTCTGAATCCCTCATGTTTTCATGTTTATATCTTGACTTTTTCATACTGTTAAAATCATGAAAACATACCAGCTCCATTCCAAATGATTTAGGATTCTGAATTTACAGAAAACCTCCACTTTCACAGCTTCGTGAGAGAGAAACTGTTTGTGTAGAGGGGGCTTGCAGGGTTGTCCAGAATGAATAGGGGCCTATGGAGCTGTAATGGAATTCACTATTTTGGTTTCACAGGAGCCTGTTTCTGTATTATTCATTAATACTAATGCCACCATAACTTGTAAGAAGTTGCTTTATCAGCCAGATTTACAGTTGGTTGTCAAACAAGTAAATTATTTATAG